TGAACTGCTGACTGACAATATTCAGTCACCCCCACGAGGGTGTCATGTGGCACAAGGCCTTTTTTAACGTGGGCATTCCCGAGCCATTAGGCTCGGCCAAAAATAGCCCATTTGAACCCGTATAAACGGGTTCTGGGCCGAGTTTAACCTCCCCGAAGGAGACTCCGCCCTTCGGCGTAGCCTCCTTCGGGTTCCTCCCGCCCGTAGGAAGAGAGTTTAACCGAACAGTCGCTCAGAAAGTGAACTGCTGACTGACAATATTCAGTCACCCCCCACGAGGGTGTCATGTGGCACAAGGCCTTTTTAACGTGGGAATTCCCGAGCCATTAGGCTCGGCCAAAAATAGCCCATTTGAACCCGTATAAACGGGTTCTGGGCCGGTTTTACCCCCGAAGGAGACTCCGCCCTTCGGCGTAGCCTCCTTCGGGTTCCTCTCGCCCGTAGGAAGAGAGTTGAACCGAACAGTCGCTCAGAAAGTGAACTGCTGACTGACAATATTCAGTCACCCCCACGAGGGTGTCATGTGGCACAAGGCCTTTTAACGTGGGCATTCCCGAGCCATTAGGCTCGGCCAAAAAAATAGCCCATTTGAACCCGTATAAACGGGTTCTGGGCCGATTTTACCTCCCGAAGGAGACTCCGCCCTTCGGCGTAGCCTCCTTCGGGTTCCTCCGCCCGTAGGAAGAGAGTTTAACCGAACAGTCGCTCAGAAAGTGAACTGCTGACTGACAATATTCAGTCACCCCCCACGAGGGTGTCATGTGGCACAAGGCCTTTTTAACGTGGGCATTCCCGAGCCATTAGGCTCGGCCAAAAAATAGCCCATTTGAACCCGTATAAACGGGTTCTGGGCCGAGTTTTTCCTCCCCGAAGGAGACTCCGCCCTTCGGCGTAGCCTCCTTCGGGTTCCTCCTCGCCCGTAGGAAGAGAGTTTAACCGAACAGTCGCTCAGAAAGTGAACTGCTGACTGACAATATTCAGTCACCCCCCACGAGGGTGTCATGTGGCACAAGGCCTTTTTAACGTGGGCATTCCCGAGCCATTAGGCTCGGCCAAAAATAGCCCATTTGAACCCGTATAAACGGGTTCAGGGCCGAGTTTAACTCCCCGAAGGAGACTCCGCCCTTCGGCGTAGCCTCCTTCGGGTTCCTCCGCCCGTAGGAAGAGAGTTTAACCGAACAGTCGCTCAGAAATTGAACTGCTGACTGACAATATTCAGTCACCCCCCCCACGAGGGTGTCATGTGGCACAAGGCCTTTTTAACGTGGGCATTCCCGAGCCATTAGGCTCGGCCAAAAATAGCCCATTTGAACCCGTATAAACGGGTTCAGGGCCGAGCATACCTCCCCCGAAGGAGACTCCGCCCTTCGGCGTAGCCTCCTTCGGGTTCCTCCTCGCCCGTAGGAAGAGAGTTAACCGAACAGTCGCTCAGAAAGTGAACTGCTGACTGACAATATTCAGTCACCCCCACGAGGGTGTCATGTGGCACAAGGCCTTTTTAACGTGGGCATTCCCGAGCCATTAGGCTCGGCCAAAAATAGCCCATTTGAACCCGTATAAACGGGTTCAGGGCCGAGCCTCCCTGAAGGAGACTCCGCCCTTCGGCGTAGCCTCCTTCGGGTTCCTCTCGCCCGTAGGAAGAGAGTTTAACCGAACAGTCGCTCAGAAAGTGAACTGCTGACTGACAATATTCAGTCACCCCCACGAGGGTGTCATGTGGCACAAGGCCTTTTTAACGTGGGCATTCCCGAGCCATTAGGCTCGGCCAAAAAATAGCCCATTTGAACCCGTATAAACGGGTTCTGGGCCGAGTTTTTATTTCCCCGAAGGAGACTCCGCCCTTCGGCGTAGCCTCCTTCGGGTTCCTCCCGCCCGTAGGAAGAGAGTTGAACCGAACAGTCGCTCAGAAAGTGAACTGCTGACTGACAATATTCAGTCACCCCCCACGAGGGTGTCATGTGGCACAAGGCCTTTTTTACGTGGGCATTCCCGAGCCATTAGGCTCGGCCAAAAAAAATAGCCCATTTGAACCCGTATAAACGGGTTCTGGGCCGGTTTTAACCTCCCGAAGGAGACTCCGCCCTTCGGCGTAGCCTCCTTCGGGTTCCTCCCGCCCGTAGGAAGAGAGTTGAACCGAACAGTCGCTCAGAAAGTGAACTGCTGACTGACAATATTCAGTCACCCCCCCACGAGGGTGTCATGTGGCACAAGGCCTTTTTAACGTGGGCATTCCCGAGCCATTAGGCTCGGCCAAAAAATAGCCCATTTGAACCCGTATAAACGGGTTCTGGGCCGGTTTAACCTCCCCGAAGGAGACTCCGCCCTTCGGCGTAGCCTCCTTCGGGTTCCTCCCTGCCCGTAGGAAGAGAGTTGAACCGAACAGTCGTTCAGAAAGTGAACTGCTGACTGACAATATTCAGTCACCCCCCCCACGAGGGTGTCATGTGGCACAAGGCCTTTTTTAACGTGGGCATTCCCGAGCCATTAGGCTCGGCCAAAAATAGCCCATTTGAACCCGTATAAACGGGTTCTGGGCCGAATTTTACCTCCCCGAAGGAGACTCCGCCCTTCGGCGTAGCCTCCTTCGGGTTCCTCCCGCCCGTAGGAAGAGAGTTTAACCGAACAGTCGTTCAGAAAGTGAACTGCTGACTGACAATATTCAGTCACCCCCCACGAGGGTGTCATGTGGCACAAGGCCTTTTTAACGTGGGTATTCCCGAGCCATTAGGCTCGGCCAAAAAATAGCCCATTTGAACCCGTATAAACGGGTTCTGGGCCGAGTTTAACTCCCCGAAGGAGACTCCGCCCTTCGGCGTAGCCTCCTTCGGGTTCCTCTCGCCCGTAGGAAGAGAGTTTAACCGAACAGTCGCTCAGAAAGTGAACTGCTGACTGACAATATTCAGTCACCCCCACGAGGGTGTCATGTGGCACAAGGCCTTTTTTAACGTGGGCATTCCCGAGCCATTAGGCTCGGCCAAAAAATAGCCCATTTGAACCCGTATAAACGGGTTCTGGGCCGAGCGAACTCCCGAAGGAGACTCCGCCCTTCGGCGTAGCCTCCTTCGGGTTCCTCTCGCCCGTAGGAAGAGAGTTGAACCGAACAGTCAGTTCAGAAAGTGAACTGCTGACTGACAATATTCAGTCAAACCCCACGAGGGTGTCATGGCAATAGGCCTTTTTAACGTATTTTTCCCGAGCCATTAGGCTCGGCCAAAAATTTTTGAACCCGTATAAACGGGTTCAGGGCCGAGTTTACCTCCCCGAAGGAGACTCCGCAATTCGGTTTTCCTTCGGGTTCCTCCCCGCCCGTAGGAAGAGAGTTGAACCGAACAGTCGCTCAGAAAGTGAACTGCTGACTGACAATTTCAGTCACCCCCGAATAGGGTGTCATATATATTATAGGCCTTTTTAAAAAATAAGCATTCCCGAGCCATTAGGCTCGGCCAAAATATAGCCGTTTGAAAAACGTAAAACGGGTTCTGGGCCGGTTTAACCTCCCCGAAGGAGACTCCGCCCTTCGGCGTAAAATTTGAAGATTCCTTTCATTTTCCCGATAATTTAACCGAACAGTCGCTCAGAAATGTTAAATATTCTCGATATGAGACATTCTCTGTTTTTGTGTTAGTAATTCGAATTTCTTTCTTGAATTGGCAACACACAAACAGTGAATGTCTCATATCGAGAAATATTTAACATTGAATATATAAGGAAAAATTAATTATTTTTAATAATATGGAAATCTCCGCTTTTTTACCTGAAGACGGTCGCGAGACCAGAAACACGTGTAGTAAAATTATGGAAAATAAAAGCATAATATTTTTTTCTAAATAAATCCACATTACAACCAAAAACGTTTGCGGCACCTCTCTCCTCTTCTTTTTAATATACATACTTTTCTCTCGTTGGAACCACTGCTACATATTTTATATATATATATATATATATATATATATATATATATATATATATATATATGAATTCAGTTGTCCTTCTCCTAGACCAGTTGCCATTCAAGGCTATAGAACCCAGTCTATCCTGCTACTTACCCATAACTGGGGGAGGGAGACGAAGAGGATTCATACCTTTCCTAAGGGTATTAGCATGTCACGGATTCGACTGGAATTCAAACTTTGAGTGTTCAATCCGAGTCGCTATCCATTACTCCACCTTGCCTCCTACAGTGGGTCGTTAGGGAACCTTGTGGCACACGGGGCAACAGGTCTCTGTATTCGTCTCTTCAAAATTGTGGTTGGTTCTGCACAAAACCTTCACTACTATACTCAAATCATACGTGCAGGTTGTCTGGCTGTCGTTTCCAAAGAACTGAGTGGCCCGATCCTCCTACGTCGTGAAAGGGGCCCCAGTAGACGCGGATCAACAGCCCACGATGATCAACGACAGAAGAGTCCACGATATATATATATATATATATATATATATATATATATGTGTATGTGTGTGTGTGTTTGTGTGTGTGTTTTTATGTGTGTGTGTGTGCCTATTTGTGTCTACAGCTCACACCAAATATATGCTTATGTATGTGTTTATATTTGTATGCATATAAATGAACGGACGTGTGCGGAAGCGGGTGTATGCATAGAAAAATGGATGGATTTCATAACATTCTTTTTTAGCATTTATCATAATAAGATAAAAAAAAAGTTTTATTTTTGATAATATCTTGTCTGCGAATTTCTTTGCTACAAACGAAATTCTTCGATATTGCTCGTCAAAAGATAAGCAAAACCAAAAAAAAAAAAAAAAAAAAAAAAAAAAGCAAACAAACTCTATTCAACGTTTTCTTGAGTAAATATACAATTCCAGTGAAACCGTAAAAGTGAAGTAGTTTGTTATCAATTGAAACACACGAGTGAATCAAATGTTTTGTGCTCGGAATACAAGACAATTCCAAAGTGTTGAAAGCAAAAAGTAGGAAAGAAAGTATTTTAGGACGTTTTTTAAAGAAAATATATTATCTATAAATGTCTGTTAATATCTAGTGTTATTCATATATTTTTATCTATCTATCTATCTATCTATCTATCTATCATCTTTTCTATCTATCTATTTCTATCTATCTATCTATCTCATCTGTTCTATCTATCTTATCTATTCAAATCTATCTTATTATATCTCATTCTATTCTATCTATCTATCTTCTAGTCTATTCAAATCTGATCTATCTATCTATCTAATCTATCTATCTATCTATCTATCTATCTATCTTATTTGTTCTATCTATCTTATCTATCTGTCTTAGTCTGTTCAAATCTATCTATCTATCTATCTATCTATCTATCTTAGTTTGTCTGTTCTGATCTATCTATCTATCTATCGATCAAATCTGTTCTGATCTATCTATCTATCTATCTATCTCATCTGTCTATCTATCTTAGTCTGTTCAATCTATCTTATCTACAAATCTCTATCTATCTGATCTATCTATCTATCTATCTATCTATCTCAGTCTGTTCTGATCTATCTATCTATCTATCTATCTATCTATCTATCTATCTATCTTATTTGTTCATATCTATCTTAGTCTGTTCAAATCTGTCTTAGTCTGTTCAAATCTGTCTTATGTACAAATCTATCTATCTATCTATCTATCTATCTATCTATCTCAGTCTGTTCTGATCTATCTATCTATCTATCTATCTATCTATCTTAGTTTGTTCATATCTATCTTAGTCTGTTCAAATCTGTCTTAGTATGTACAAATCTATCTATCTATCTATCTATCTATCTATCTATCTATCTATCTATCTATCTCAGTCTGTTCTGATCTATCTATCTATCTATCTATCTATCTATCTATCTATCTATCTATCTATCTATCTCGGTCTGTTCTGATCTATCAGGTCATCCCATAAGTTCTGTCCGAATTTTGAATAAAGAAAACAAGTGACCAAATGTTACATTTAATTACAGATTCAATCAACAATGTATTTTCCCTGATTATCTATGACTTCCTTCCTTTAACAGGCTTACTAATTCCATTACTGTAAAATTCTTTTGGTTTTGATTCGAAGAACTCACAAATGTCAGTTTTAACCTCTTCCTGTGCTGCAAAAGCTGTTTCTTCCAAATGATTCTGTAAGGTACGAAACAAATGGTAGTCTGAAGGAGCAAGATCAGGAGAATAAGGTGGATGAAGAATTTTCTCTCAACCAAGTTCTTCGATCTTTTGTGACGTGATTCTTGCTGGATGGGGTCGCGCATTGTCCTGATGAAACATCACCCCTTTTCGATTCACTAGAGCAGGTCTTTTTTTCCTCAAAGATTGGTTCAAACACTCTAACTGCTGACAGTATATTTGAGCATTAATTGTTGCATTAGGTGGTAAGAATTCAAAGTGGATTATTCCTTGAAAGAAGAACCTTTTGCCCATGAAGTTCCCTTCTCGGCTGTGGGGTTCTATCCCCTTTACCACGCCACTGTCCACGACGCTTAACATTTCGATAAAAGATCCATTTTTCGTCGCCAGTTACAAGTCTATCAAAAAAAGGCGAAACAATTTGGCGAGAATGGAGAGAAGAGCAGATGTCAACTCGGGATTTGAGGTTTTTTTCAGACAATTCATGAGGCACCCATTTTTCAAGTTTAGGAACTTTTCCAAGTTGTTGAAAATGACAATGAACAGTTGTATGGTTTGAACTGAGAACCACTGCCAATTCCTCAACTGATAAAGCAGGATTTTCTTCAAGGGCTGCTTCAAGAAGCTTTTCATCAAACTCAACTGGACGTCCGGTTCAGTCTTCATCTTCAAGGGTAAAATCTCCACCTCTGAATTATGCAAACCATCTTCTGCAAGTTCTTTCATTCACACATTCCTCTCCATAAACTGAGTGAATGTTTCTTGCCGTTTCGGCTGCTGAGTTTCCTTTCTTGAACTCATAATGCATTATGTGCCTCAAATGATTCTTGGATACTTCCATGTTAGCAGGGTTTTAATCAAACGAAATTTAATTTTATTGTTCTCTGAAATGAAATTTGATCAGTAATAAATGCATCTAAACATAAAAATAATGTTCAGCTCCATTAGACATTATAAAATACTCTTTAAATTTCGTTCATTTTAACAAAAAGTTAAAATTCGGACAGAACTTATGGGATGACCAGATATCTATCTATCTATCTATCTATCTATCTATCTATCTATCCCAGTCTGTTCCTTATCTATCTCTCTTTCCCCACCCCCGCCTATATAAACATAAATCCGCTTAACACAATACCCCATTTCATTGAATAAATTATTATTACATTATTGTACATATTCATGTGCTCGTTGACATTGTATAACATTCATCCATCCTTGAGTCATTGATTTTCACTTTTCCATTCTTTCAACTTGAGCTTTTTTTTTTCAGCAGTTCTTATTATTTCACGGACATTTTGTTTGAATAATGTCTTCTATTCACATATACACCTTTCCTCACTGATGGAACGCTTCCGGTCATGTATCAGAAGTATTAAGTTTGAGTGTTTCTTTATTGTTGAACATATAATAATAAAATTAGATTTTATTAAAAAAAACAACACAATTTTGGTTTCTTTCTTCAAATGTAAAACGTTAGAAAGGCGCGAAAACAAAACATTTCTGGAATTGATTGAAGCAGACGACAGCGTATCCAGGAACAATGAGACGGGTTAAGAAAGAAGAAAACAAAAAGTCAGTCGAGCAGGGGGTTAGAAAGAACGAAGCTAAATAAGTTCCCTTTCTGATGTTGTGCTGCAAACACACGTTCATGGAGATTTATTGCAGAAAAACAAAAACAAAAAAAAAAAAATAACGAAAAAAAGAAAAGAAGCATTTTTCGAACATTTATGACACAAGAAAATGTCAACAATGGAATGCTTATAGACGAGTAGTTAGTAATGATTTTAAGAAAGTAAATACTTCCCAAAACCAGTGCCGGTGCAAGAGACTTGTGTCCACCAATCTATGAAGGCCAGTGACCCCACCCAACTACATCTCAACTTTAACAAGATCGTATTCATATAAAACACAAATAATATTGTAACCTAATTATGTACAATAATCATATACTTATTATAAAACCCAGGTTGTGTGTGTGTGTGTGTGTGTGTGTGTCTGTTCGTTTATATATTGTATCGGATTTCCTACATTTTTCAACCGATTTCAACAAAACTTCACAGGACTACGTAAAATTACCTTGCGGTGGTACCGACAGCGCCAAAAATTGGAAAAACACAATTGTTTTCGCACGAAATCAATTTGAAAACACGATTAAGAGGAAATAATGAAAGGGGGACAACTCATATCGAATTATATTTATTAATATCGAGTTATCGAGTTATACTTATTATAAAACCCTGGTTGGTTGTTTGTGTGTGTGTGTGTGTTCGTTTATATATGGGATCGGATTTCCTACATTTTTCAACCGATTTCAACAAAACTTCACAGGATTACATAAATTACCTTGTGGTGGTTCTAACAGCGCTAAAATTGGAAAAACACAATTGTTTTTGCACGAAATCAATTTGAAAACACGATTAAGAGGCATCGTTGTCGCGAGAATGAAAGGGGGACAACTCATATCGAGGTATACTTATAAAACACAGGTTGTTTGTGTTTGTGTGTGTGTGTTTGTGTGTGTGTGTGTTCGTTTATATATGGGATCGGATTTCCTACATTTTTCAACCGATTTCAACAAAACTTCACTTTTTGGAGGGCAGGTAGTGTTTCCTATTGTCTTTCACACTTTTTCCTTTATTTTTACATTCAGAATGCTTTAAAAAATTCCATTTACAAGACAATTGTTTATAATAAAATTCTATTCAATCGGTAGACTCATAACGATTGAAAACAATGTCTTTGTTTGAGTTTGACCAATTCGTAAAAAAAAAAAAAAAAAAAAAAAATAATTAAGACATGCGTGTCCGTCAACGTTAAACAATAATCTTTGTCAATTTTATTTTTCAGTCTTTATGATGGTTGATACTTGATCTATCTCTTACTGTTACATCCCCGGGCAACGCCGGGCTCTACTGCTAGTGCTTCATAAGTGAACAATTCGATTAGAACTGAAAATGAATACAATGTATCTAAATACAAATTAGAGACGCGGCCTAAAAGATTATTCCATCGTCAATAAAACAACAATGTTTGGCGGCAATTCTTAACATCAACTTGAGATTTTTCTTGGATAATTTTAATATATTCAACCTTATGTATATATAAAAATATAGTGAATTTTATACAGTGTTGTTTTTTTTACATTTAGCATGAACAAAAGAAATTCACAGATTTGAACGAAAAAAAGAAATCCCACAAAGGCAAATACAGTGTAACCCGGATATAAGAGACCCGGATATAAGAGAAACCCGGATATAAGAGATATTTTCTCTGGTCCCAAATTAGAGCCTGTGTTAATGTATATAAAATAGACCAAACCAGGATATAAGAGAAACCCGGATATAAGAGATATTTTCTCTGGTCCCAAATTAGAGCCTGTGTTAATGTATATAAAATAGACCAAACCCGGATATAAGAGAAACCCGGATATAAGAGATATTTTCTCTGGTCCCAAATTAGAGCCTGTGTTATAAAATAGACCAAACCCGGATGTAAGAGAAACCCGGATATAAGAGACTACTTCTCCGGTTCCGACAACTCTCTTATATCCGGGTTACACTGTATTTATAAGCTATCTAGTGTTACAAAGCTCTGACGGGGTACTCCATCAGATTTGCCCCGATTGGCGGACCCAGGGGTAGTTCGTGCCAGTACTGTCCCAAAACACTCCATTTATCCGTTTTTTTTCAAATGTTTTTTGTCAAGGTGAATAGTCAGCTTTCAAAAATGTCTATACACTTTGAATTGAACAATGTTACGTAACGGGTCGTTGTAGTACTTTGTAGCGTAAAGTTTCCTTGTACTTTTTAGTATAAAGGTTCGTTAATGTATTCTGTAGCGTAAAGAGCAGTTGTTTTACACTATAGCACAGGGGTGGCCAACCTTTTGATTCCATGCGCCAATATTTTGTACGATTAATTTAAATTGCGCCAAACAAACATTCACTTCCTTTCAGTACGTGTTGTAATATGGACATATTTTAAAGTTATAATAAAATCTATTTATTTGAAAAATATATGCTTATGACCAGGGGGCGTATCCCGGAGTTTTGAAAGGGGGGGCATCAATCAATGCTTTGACTTTTTTTTCTCTACAGATTTTGCAGAGAGGGGTGGGTGATAAAGAATGACAAACATTTTAGAACACAATCCAGTCTACCAGTTAGTTAAGCACTCAGTCAACCAAAAGGACCACGTAAACATTTTTAACAAAAAGAAATGGGACAAACACAAATAAAACTGTTGTGGATTCCAAGATGAATTCGGTCTCCAAGGAATGACAAACGCAAGAATTAAATATAAGAAATAAAATGTGTTTACAAAATCATACAAAGAGTAATACTGTTAGTAAGTCCAGGAACGCGGTTAGTAGCAAATACAGATAGATATATACAGTCTCGAAGTAGGACTTCCTTAGAGTCTACGTGCTTGTAACTGACTTCTTCTGTCCTAATAAACATTCTAATAAAAAAAATAAATCATGTCTCACTTTTTAAAAACGTATAATAATTTCCTCTTATTTAAAGTCTAAATCAAATATGATTTGGTCCAATTTAAAAAAATTAACAGGGGTCACTTAGTGTCATTAAAAAAAAGAATGGAATCAATTATCAAACTTACACTTTGAGAAACTTTTGCAACGAAGGCCAAAAATTTGTGCTGCAGTAATCAAGGCTTAAGAAGGATATTTTGACGAGAGCAAAATTTAATCATAAAATGCTGTTTTCCTTTTGTCATAATAAACTTTCTAATAGAAAAATAATGTCTCACTTTTTAAAAACGTATAATAATTTCCTCTTAATTAAAGTCTAAATCAACTATGATTTGGTCCAATTTAAAAAGTTAACCGGGGTGACTCCAGACATGTAAACTGTACTGCATATATATGTATTTATGTGTATATATATATATATATATATATATATATATATATATATATATATTAGAAAGTCTATGAAAAAGGGGTGGATTTTCGAAGAATTACTTGATTTTAATCCTTAGTAAAAAAAGTATTTTACCCAAATATATTTCCGATATATTCATGATGCTCTATTAATATATCCCCGAAAAATTACTTTACCTGACCCCATAAACTAGACAAAGTGGACTATACGATAAAATTCAATTACGAAACTTACGACGTAGAAACAAACCATACTTTACATTTCCTAGCTATCATGTTACGCTCTAATGACAATGGTCTATAACTAAGTGCCAATTCGCGAAGCAAGTAATAAAAAATGATCTCATAAATATCTATTCTCACCATAACAACAAAATAAAACCCGGATTAATCATCAGATTCTATTTGAGAGCGCTCAGAATGCGTAGTCTTCAGTATTTACATGAAGCGTAAATGCTTTTAAGGCCCTCCAATACCCTAATCATTTCATATTCAAAAGTCTCGTAGAATATTGCCCAATGGAAGAGTGAACGTTTCTGACAAACCCAACAAATCCAAATATAGTGTTCTACTCGCCGACTCTATCACAACAACTGAACAGAACATTTAATCCATTCGGCTATCGTCGCGTGGATTCGGGAATTTGGCGACATTGTAGTTGAGAGTTTAATCACAGGTTCGGTAAAACGAGCTATAACTGAGCAGTACTGAGGAGGGCCGGAGAGCACAACGGTCGAAACGTTAAGAAAACAACCCCAAAGATGAAGCTCTGCGTGTAAATACTGTATATATCACGTTTAAGTATTGTTATATACCAAGCCTATGAACACTAATGGGGTATGTCCCAATCCTCGTAAATACATTGGACACTATTGTAAGTCGGGGGTAACATGCTGTCTAAGCTGGCAGCATGTGCTGTCAGCGTGGGAAGCTCTTGCCGTGTCTAAGTCTCCGCCTTCTGGCAGAGAGAAACCCGGACGAGACTCTACCCTTCGGTAGAGTCTCGTTCGGGGAGGTAGAGGGATGCACGATCCCGCGTATGTGGGGTCTAGGGAAAAATTTTTACCCGAGCCCACGGAATCGGATTTGGCCTTGTGCTGCATCCTGCCTCGTGGGGAGACAGGTAAATATCGTAATATGCTGTCTGAGTAGTCCATCACTAGCGGTGGTTTACCTACTTCACGCCGCTGGCGAGTATTGTATTTTGTT